GTGCCGGACTCCCGGTGAATGTAGGGGCTTTAAGAAATAGAATAGGGTTTTGGGGCCCATGATACTATACTTACAANNCCCCCCCCCCCCCCCCCCCCGAAACTGTATTGGTAATTATTTCGGCCTCTCTTCAAGGGTGCCGCAAGCCGTGCTCCCTCAACATACGTGCTCCCACGATGAATACGTGCTTGCTCAGATGTGCTGTTCAGCCTCTGGGGAGGCCAGAATCTGTCGAAGAGAGCATTAGAAGGGAAGAGTGGGTCCTGGGTTCCGGGGCCCAGTAGTGGGGTGCCGGTTTGGCCGGGTGCTGCCAAACAGAGATTTAAAGGCACGGGCCTTGTCCTAGGCTTTTTTAAGTGTTTAGGAGAGCTTCTGGGAATCAGACCACACATGCCACGCATGCGTGTTCGCTCGCCACTCGTGGGTGCATGTGCGTGCTCACTCGACACCTAGCGTGCTCCCTCAGCACCTGGCGTGCTCACTGGACACCTAGCGTGCTCGCTCGCGGTGCTGCGTGCTCGCAAACATTGGAGCTCCGGTCAACTGCGCGCGCCGTGTCGGCATGCAAATCTTTGGGAGCACGATGTCCTACTAGACGCGGGCCCGGGCCATTAAATGGACATCTCTCGAAGCATCCTGCGTGCTTGCTCGAAAACACAATCTCTAAAGGAATGCGTGCTCGCTAAGAATTCCGTGCGCGCAACGTGTCGCACGGTGACCGCACACACCGCCAATGGGCAACCGAGGGAGCACCCAGCCTGAGCAAGCATGCATGCCGAATCTGAGGACGAGCGGTGGCAATGGCAGTTGCTGGCTGGCTGACCACGAGACTTCGCGAGCTGGCGGAGTGGCTCTCCTAGACATTAGCGTGCTCGCTCCATGCTAACGTGCTCGCTCGTGGGTGACAGACAGGCCAAGCGCCAACGTCGTGCTGCTTGACTTGGGGTCCTGATGCCATGTGACATCGTCGTGTGCGAATCAATAAGTGAAACAACTCACACTGAAAACGCACTCGTGACCAGAGCATCAGCAGAAGGCAGCAGGGGGCATGGGAGCGAGAAACAGACTGTGAGCGAGCACGATAACGGGTTGGAAGCACCGACTTCGAGCAAGCATGGGAAGTGGCATCCTTGATCTCTACCCGAAACCCTTAAACCCTAAACCCTAAACCTTAAACCCTAAACCCCTAAACCCTAAACCCTAAACCGGTTCCAAGGCGTTCCCAAAAGGGGTGCCGCCTGGAGGATGCCCAGGGCCCAGTGCAAGTCGGAGCAGCTCTGGGACGTGAGCTCCGAGTCATCGAGGCTGCCGAGCTGCTGGCCTAAGGACTCGCTTTTAAAGGGTTCCGTACGGTTTAGGGGTTTAGGGTTCCATATGTCTTATAATGGCTATAACGGGTATAAGGGTTATAAGGGGTTTAAAAGGGTTTCATAAGTCTTATACAAATGTTCTATGAGGATTTTTGTATATGGTTTGGGGGTTCAGGGGTTCTAAACGCGTTCTGTGAGGGTTGTTGGGGTTTAGGGGTTCAGGGGTTAAGGCTTCGAGCTCGGGGTTAGGGCTCTTAAGTATGTTTTACAAGTAGGGTCTAGGGCCTGGCAGCCCCGCACGCTAAGGTGTAAGGTTAGCACAGCTTTTGGTTTCAAGTCCACTGTTGTTTCATGGCCAGGTTTCGCAGCACCCCCTTCCCCCGTGACGAGGATACCCTTTTTTCCCATTATCCAAAGTTCTGTAGTGAGGAGACCCCAAAATAAAGACCAAAATAAACAAACATGGAATTCACATGACATGGCCACTGGAGGACCGAGATCTTCTCAACAATGCCCGAGTCACCAGTGGCAGCAAGCAAGGTCGCGTCCATTGCCTGTAGATGAGCAAAGCCCCATGCAGCGTTGGCAAGGTGCTGCCCATCGAAGCCTTGAATACGTGACACGCACGCCTGAACAGCGCAGCTTCTGTTAAATTTCTGGTTGAGTTCAGGATTTCGGGATCGTGTGCAAGTAGTTAGCAGTCTTTGCCTAGAGGAGCTGGCGCTAGCTGGAAAACAGCGTGATTCTTGTAAACCATCTCAAAACCATCGAAATAAGGAGCGGGACAAGAACAAAGGCCAGCAGCTTGGATGCAGAAACCAAAAATCCTTGACCGTAAGCCCTCAAAGCCCCACGAGGCTCGCCTGCGCAGCTCCCTTGAACAGTGCCTCGCTCAATGTTGCCAGCTGCGCAAACGCTCATGCCAAGTTGGCCAAGCCCTGTTCGTCGTGATTCTCCTTGTCCTGGGCGTGGACCCTTTTTGGGGGGACAAATGTGGCACCTCCGTCCGTTGCTGTCCCGACCTCCTAGTTTACCAAGCCGAGTTTTCACGTAAACCTCGTGAAGCACTCTAGAAATCGGCCGTCAGACCTCGATATAGATAGACAAATGAATTTAGATAACATAGAGTAGGCCAACTCGCATGATACAAACCGTAATCATATCAACTACAACCCGACAGTATTGCAGACTAGGGAGTGTAGTTTTCCAACCAATAGCCTTGCATGACTTCCTCTGAAAAAGAAAACAGCCGTCAGGGAAGGTAAACCTGAGCCCCTGTCCCTAAACCCTAAACCCTAGAGCGAGAGGTTTAGGGCTTGGGGGTTCAGAGATGCCAGGTTCGGGGACCCCTAAACCCCTAAACCCCTAAACCCAAACCCCTACACCCTAAACCCTAAACCCCAAAATCACAGGCTCGAAGGCATCCTCAGTCTGCCACCCAGCGGCGCGCAGGAAACATGCCGGAAGTGCATCCAGCAGTGGTGCGCCAAAGTAGAGCATGCTTCCTGGGACTAGTTCATGGTTGGGGTAGTATTAAAAATTTAAATGTATATTCCTTATTGGGTTTAAGTACCCTTAAAATGTAAAATGTTACCCAACTATGACAAAGGGGATGAGGTACCAGAAGGCTCGATAAGCCGCAAATATGTAGCTAAAACACCCTATATTGCGGGAGTATGGTCTTATAGCATTCACCAGGACCAGCCCATATGCCCTGGGCTTACATCCAGGCCATAGGTCAAGCAAAGATGCAAATCCTACACGGTTTGATGTTCGGGCCATAAACAACGGTACAAATGTCGACCGGGTTTAAGGTTGCTAAGATGAGGCTCCTGGTGTGTTGGGGGTTAGGGTTTAGGGTTGGGGGTTTAGGGTTTAGGGTTAAGGGTTTAGAATTTAGGGTCTAGGGTTTAGGGTTGGGGGGCGTGGGAGATATTGTTTTGATCGCTGGTTACTCGCTGGCCTCGGCCCAGTTTTGTGAGCAGAGCCCATGACAAGCTCGGGTGAGTCACCAGAAAAGTGACAAGGATCACCAGAAGGGTCATACCTTCCTGGACCCTAATCGACTGGCTGCAGATTCATCCTCCGTGCTAATTTAAAAAATGTAAAGAAGGGACGGAAGTCACAGGTGAACCTCCTAAATGGAGGCAAATACTGTAAACTTCACACCAACCGGTCGCAATAACATGCAAAAAGTCTTGGAGTTCAGAAAGCCCTTCATACTTTCAGGAAGCCCTTCTTACAAGCACCCGCTTCCCCCTTAAACTAAGAACCACCCATACAATTAGTCGATGACTAAGTCCGCCACAGGAAATCCAAGATTCCCATCGCCCGGGCAACGTTGGAAGTGTTCTGAGAAACATCGGCCTCCGAATGCAAGGCATCATTTTTGGGAGCATGAAGGATTAAACTAGGCTGTTGAGGGGCTTGGTACTATCAACATTGTCACAAATACAGTATATACCTTTCCTTCTACATACATGCATGCATACATGCATACTTTGGCGTATGGAGGTTTGGTGGCTTTCGAGTCATAGACCCTTTTCTGCCACCGGACTTGGATTCAGACTGCCGGGCAAAACGAGGCGCCTCAGACTGGCTACAAACAACTACAGTATGCTAGAGCCCCAAACCCTAAACCCTGCCAGGCCTGGCTGTGTTGAACTCTCCTGAAGCTGCTGCTTGGGTCTAGGATGATCTAAGAGGGTTGAAGGCATCAAGGTCAATCTAATAACTCTTGAGGGATGTAGGATTTACTGGAATTGGGGGGGAGGGTTGGGTTGGCTTGACTGTGGGGCGCTTGAGAGTTCAAGCCAACTCAAAGACCGGATCGCGGGGTTCGATGGTCGCGGAGCTGATCCGAGTTGATGCTCGCAGCTTGTCGGAACCATAACCCAGAAATCCAAACTTTCCCATTCTAGCTGCTCCAAGCAGAAAACCGTTCCTGGGGCTATGGATTCAGGTTACCCACTAAGCTCCAAAGAGAAAAAAAGCTTTCCAAAGTCCGACTCAAGGTCGTGAGAGCTGCTTCCGCGAGCCCCTGCATCAACGCCGCCCCTCGCCGGCCCATTGTGCCAGAGTCCCACAAAGTGTTCGCCACATTCCTGAAGGACATAAAGCAGATCCGTGACCCTAAACCCAAAGCCCGAAACCCTTCTCGCAATGTCAAGGCCCCTTCTCGCAATCCAAATTATGGCTTGGTCGTCTGCGCGCGGATGCAACTCAAGCAGGTATCGGGCCTATCCGAGAAAACATACCCCACAGGGACTCCCAGAACCCTAAACCCTAAACCCTGCAGGGACTCCCAGATTGCAACCAGCCCTTGTGCTTGGCTTTGAATTCTGCAGCTTACAGCCTCTCCCAGCCCGATGGAGCCCCACCCTTCCAACAAAACAAAACGGTTTAGGGTTTAGGGTTTAGGGTTTAGGGTCCCGTCCGTTTGGGACCTAAGGGAAGCAGCCGCAACTGCCAAAACTGTTCATGCCCACTCCTGCGCTGGAAGTAGGCCTACCTGTTTAAAAGCCAAAACACCACAAACCCTATGTCCGAAACCCCCGTCGCCCTGAACCCTCAAAGAAGTTGCACAGCTTGGATGTGCAAAGCTTCTGTGTGTTGGACTCTGTCAGCACGCGCGTACCTTAACTGCTCCATGCGATGCTTCTGCACACTGTGCGGAGACGAGATGTGCAGTCAATTTTCGATATATATATATATATATATGTATATATATATATGGGGTTTCGGAACATCTACCGAAAAGACAAGCCAGGAGCAAGCTTCCGGAAGGTAGTTGACTAAGGCCTCTTCACTCAAGTCCAACGTGCTGGAAGCTCGACCCAAGTTGGAGGCGTCTTGTGCATCTAACTGGTCCAGACTGGAGATCCCCTTTTCAGAGGTCATCCGCATCAAGGGCCGGTCAAGGACGGCACTTGTGGCAAATCTCCATGCTGTGTTGCTCAAGTTCTGTGGCCCAAATCGTCCGGCCTTCTGTAAGCACGCCTCGGAAGCGGTATGAAACAGCAGTTGGTCTTGGGCGAAGAGCTTCCCAAAAGACCAGGCAAGGTTCGAAAGCTCCTGCGGCAGAAGTTGCGGAGCTCTGCTTCGACACTCCCAGCATGTCGACAGCATCAGCGTGCCACTCCAGGCATGGAGGTTGCTGGAAGCCCAGGCAAGGTTGGCAATCTCCTGGCACTGTGCCTCGCTCATGGTCCCAGCTGCCCTTTGCGAAGTGAAAGTAGACAGCGGCTCGTGAAAGTGTTCCTTGGATCCGCGAGCAGTAAGACAAAACGTGCATTGCTTTGTATAGGAGTAATAAAACTTCTAGCCCACTATAAATGCCAGAAAATGTAGCAGCAAGAACAACGCCGACAGCCTTCGCCATTTTCATCATCAAACTAGGAGCAACAGGAGATCATTCCCTGATCGAAACCACTCCCATAGACTTGTCGCTATCGGTAGCGCCAGAATGATCGTGACAGCAGGAGCAGGTGGAGTGAAAGCACTGAGTACGGCTCAGTATAAGCAACATGGCATTCCCGAAAGAAGCCGGTCAGTGCAACAAACGAATTATAACACCCGCATATGCATACGTCTGTCCGCGGCTCTGAAGTTGAGGATGCCCATGCCATGCCCGCAAGGTTCTGTGAGTTCAACTCTCCTCGGGATGGAGTAAAGTGTGGACCATTGTCGACTGTAGCGTTTCAATGAGCATGTACGAAGAACCAGTGGAATCTTGGATGTGGCTTTGCCTCTGTCCTATAGCAGATTACAGGTACATAAAGATGTAGCGCTAAAGATGTAGGGCTTTAGCTGCAAGGTTAAGAATTTGTGTTCTTGTTGCACATAATCACGTGAGTTTTATCCGGGGACGGACGGATGCTTCGTCTGGTGGCGCGAAGAGGCAGGCAGGAACATCGTCCTTTTTGGAGTAAGCTCTTTTTACATAGAGACATAGAACTATTCTCGCCTCTTGCACCGTAGGCGTAACGAAGACTTGTTCCGACAGGTCAGCGATGCGAACGAAAGCATGGAGAGTCTCGCATGCCTTTCGGCGCTCACTATGGGGGGGGGTTTAGGTTTGGGGCTGCCGGACCAGATGTGTTCCTACCATTTTTGGCAACAAGCTCAACCAGTAGTCTCAGAACTATGATCTTCTTCCTGCATAAACTAGGCCCATTACAAAGTTCAGGCTGTTTTAACACCAAGGCTTAATTTGCCTTGCCCTCAACCATCCAAACCAAACCCAAATTCCCACGACGCCTACCCGGAACACCAGACCTCAGTTCCCGTACCCTCAGCCCTCCATGAAAGTTTCAGACAATCCCCTAACATTCCATGTACTCATATAGCATATACATTAGCCCCAAAGTACCCAAATAGGGACTACTTTAAGGCCAACGTATCCACTATTTGGGCACATGGACCCTTAGGGATCGTGCACGCCAGGGCATCCCGACTAGAAGGATCCTAAAGAAACCCACGGCCCCTAAACCCTGCACTCTAAGAAATCTGTCAAAGCCGCAAAACCCCGTACATAAACGCACAAAGTCCTGCTATACATAGAGCCCAGCGAAAGCCGACAACAAACAAAAAAGAAAACACACAAACAACTTCTGATCCCTCAATAACACACTACCCAAACCCTGCTACCTGTCCTGGATCTTCTATCTGTAAAGCTTGTAACAACCTATAAGAGTGTAGCCCAAGTCTCTGGCGGACAAGAACTGAAAGGCGGCAGCTTCCAGGAAAGACAAGTCGAACTTGCTGAGCTTCGCCGAAGCCCGGGCCATGTTCGCGAGATTCCTGGGCTTCGGGCTTATAGAGTCTTAAGAGTTTTATAAGGTTTCTGTAGGTTCCTTCGCTTTTCCTCTTGATTGGGGCTTTATAGGGCTTTGTTAAGGGTCTAGGTTTACGGTTTAAGACGGTTTCAGTTTAGGGTTGAGGGTGTATTCTTTAGACAGCCCGTTAAAGATAGCTTTGGATTGGGTTTGTGGCTTCTGCACGTTTTCGGGCGAAAAAATTTTAGGCTGGCTGAGAATGCCACTTCAAAGCTGAAACTTCAACTTTACATCCTTCGAGCTCGGCTTTAAGATGTTCACCCGTGCCCCTCCGTCTGCACCACCCTAAGCTTCCCCAAGCCCACAGGCTGAAACAATTCCTGAAACCACCCTCCACCTTGAATGGTGGATCAACTAGACCTAAGCGACATATCCAAACTCGCCCTAAACCTCGAAAGAAGCCGAAACCTAAGGAAGCCAAAGCTCTGAGCTAGAGACGTATCCAGTATCTGCAGCGCGGCTTCCAAGGTCCCACACCTGGATGCTTCAGATCAAAGCGCGACATACTGGAGCACTAATGTAGGAACCTGATTAAGAAACCCCGGCCCTATAACCCCAAAGTATTAGGATTCTATAAGGAAGCCTAATAAAGACCCATGGTTTCTTAATCAGGTTCCCATATTATACAAGGTCTGCTTCTTGGTTCTGGAGGTTGAAGCTGAAAGCTTATGACGAATCCCAGTGTTACATGCCACCACTTCTCCGCAAACAGCCGAGACTGAGAGTTCGCGAACTGGCCTTCAATTCAAAAGACAATCAGGCAGGCTTCAAGTTTGGGTCTGATTCACGCTTTCGTGGTTGGGGTTCTGTGCTTGTGCGGGTTTACAATTTCGGCGCGATGACATGAACTGCTTCGGCAGATGTGTTTGCGGCTGCTTTCCTGTACCTGACCGCCCCTCATTCCGCCGAAGGGCAGCGCGGTCTCGTGACTGACCTGCGCACATGGTCTGGTAATTTCGGGGAGCCTAGGAGTCAGGATGCTACGAGCTAAAGGGTTTCGGGTTGAGATCCGGGTGCATTTTCGAAGTTCCCTACGCTCTTCAACTCCATTTCTTGCTTAGGTACGACGATAAAACTGAACATGATACATGCATACATATATTATGTGTTCGTTGCACACATAAACACAGAGTTTTACAGCATACAGTATACATCTAAGTATATGTCTGTGAAAACACATGGGGGTTTCCGAAAATAGGGGACCCTAATATAGTACCCTAAATAATAGGATCCCTATTATAAGGACCCCAAAATAAGGTACCCCCAATGTTCGGAAAGTCCCACATCTGAATCTAAGGTTTAGGGTTCCCCACCTGCAGCGTGGCCGTCGCCCAGGCCGAAGTCGCAAGATCTTGGGCTCCGCACTCCTCCCCATGAACCCTCAGCCCTGGAAGAACACCTTCTGGAACCAACCTAATCCACAGGGCTGAGAGATTCAAGGCTTGAGGTTCTAGGATGCAGGGTAGGGTGACATGTGGGTGGCCGTGTGCTGTGTGTGTGTGTGTGCGTGCGCGAGACTGAGAGTGAGAGTGAAAGAATGAGAGAGATAGAGAGAGAGAGAGAGGGCGAGAGAGAACAACAAAAACAAACACACCTATTTTCTGAACTGCTCTGCCACACGGCTCGAATCAGTCAACAGAATCGATCAATAAACCGATCAATCAACCAATTGGTTGCAAATCTATCTATCAGCTTCTGCTCATAGGGCTATATGAATGTTTATATGTGGGTGGTTGTCAAAATTAGGGTCCCTTTTTGGGTACCCTAAAATATTAGGTGCCGTACAAGATTACGGACCCAAAAAGGGACCACAATTTTGACATCCACCCATATGTGAAAGTGCCTTTAGGCTTTTTACCAAGGGCCAGCATCCTTTTGAGTCTTCCGATTTTCGGAGGTTGTTTGTTTCCGATTTTCGGAGGTTGTTTGTTTTTGCATAGGGGTTAGGCAGGTTGTATGGTGGAGGATTGAGTGCATATGTGTATATATATATATATGTGTGTGTGTGTGTATGTATATATATATATATACATACATACATACATACATAAATACATAAATACATAGATATATATATATATATATATATTGGGGTTCGGCCTTCGTACCGGTTTGAAGTTCAGCGTTGCAGGACTACAGACTGGGAACAACCTTCTTAAAGCCTCAGCACTGGAGGCTCTGACACGAATCCGACCGCCTGAGGACCCGGATCGACTTTGGCTCATTCCGAAAGGGTCCAAGTACCATTATAGTAGGTACTTAGTAGGTATTTGGGCCCCAAGAGTATATACTATACTAGTCCTTGGACCCTTTGGGATTTAGCCCTAAACAGGAAACAACAGCAATAACATGCCAGTTGGTGCACTGCTCACAATGTGCACATGCTGGCCTCCGCATTTGTATCATAAACACTGACCATACACTCTTTTGCATGGAACATAAAACCCCTAAACCTGCCGGACATTGCAAGGATGAAGGTATGTCGACAGGCCGCCTACAAGCGGAAGAAACACATGATCGCCCTCGACTGAACTGTAAACTTTCTTCAAGCCATGACTGAACCCTAGTCCAAAACCTCCCAGGAACACCGGGCGTACTGTAACCTAGTGCTTCAGGCCCGTTCGAAGCTATAAGAGTGGTACGTAGAAAAGGCGGGGAGGCGAGCCTGATACGCTCAGAACGCCAACGCCTGAATTCCCCGTTCTGAACCCCACCCAAACCCAAGCCTAAGCACCCAGTCCCCAAGAACCTGCTCTCTTAATCCCTTAACATCCACCATCAAGCCCTAAACAAAACACAGCGGCCGTGACACTCTTATAGAAACTCTTTTAACAACCACCCTTATAAAAATACAAGCATGCTAAAACACCTAAAGCAAACCTTGCAAAACCCACGCAAAGCACAGGAAAAAAAAACAAAAACACACACACACACAACAAAAACACACACACACACATACAAAAAAAAGAACCTTGCATAATCCTGGGACCCTACACCCCAAAACCCTGGTATAGCCCTACAAAAACCCTCTCTCCGGAAGCAGCTCATAGAGTCGACCCGCACCGGATTTCAGGAGCGACGCCTCTCAGGATGGGTTTAGGGTTTAGGGTTTAGGTGTTTAGGGTTTCTAGGGTTTAGGGTTTAGGGTTGGATGGCATTTGGAGGGACCTTTTCGCGCGATTTAGAGGCGGCTTAAGGCACTCGAACTTCAAACTCTAGGGGTCCGAAGATGGGCGCGGGGGAGTGGTTAAGATAGGGTTTAGGGTTTAGGGTTTAGGGTTTAGGGTTTAGGGTTTAGGGTTTAGGGTTTTTAAAGACTAAAAGTTTTTTTTGGGTGCTTGCTGCGTCTTGCATCGCTGCCCGAGTTTTGTAACTGAATCAGCTTTTGGGGAGTGGCCTCTCTGGACCCCGCCACACCCCCAACCATCGTTGTACAGAGCCCGAGAAGCCAGTTAAGTCCTTCGAGCTCCAACCCCCCCGATGGCATAGTATAATAACCAGAGGGTCCATATATACTACCATTATGGAATTAGGTCCCAAAAGACCATTCATATTAGGGTTTTGGGGGCCTAATTCCATAATGGTAGTATATATGGACCCTAAGGTAGCAATCAGACGGAGGCACCAGGCCGCAAAATCAAGTATCCAGGCCTCGTTGCCTTCCAGTGTGGCGAGCCTTCGCAACGTGTTGCTCGCGTCCTGTGGGCCGGACACGGCCATCTTCCTGGGTGTTATTGATGTAGGGCTTCGGGTCCTGGAGAGCTAAAGGGAGTGCGATATACGGTTTGAAGAGTAGTCCAAGTTCAGTCTAAGAAGATTGAACGCCTGAGGTCTAGAGAGCTATATGTACTTATGCCTGACAGTCCGGTTTGGGGATTTGATCAGGGTGTGTGCTGCCTTTCTCGACTCCGGTAGCTTGAACAAGCACAGCGAGGATGCCCTGAAGGCCTCGATTGGCTGATACTCGAATAATTAGACTAGGGTTTGGGGGTATATTATACTATAATCATAATAAGGAACCCCATGCTAGTATTGGTAATACTCACAAGTCCCACAAACAATGTTCAACCCCAACCCCCCCCAACTCAAGATTCAATATACCTCATCTCCTGCATCCTAGAGCAGGCGCTGCCGAGTTGAGCGGCTACGCGCGGTTTAGGACTATCCCCCCGGTCAGAAGGCAGATCTGCCGGAAACTTCTCAAGATAAACCATTTGGGAGTTTCCGAAAATAGGGGGTACCTTATTTAGGGGTCCTTATAATAAGGATTCTACTATTTAGGGTGCTATATTTGGGTCCCCTATTTTCGGAAACCCCCATTTAACTGTAGTGCAAGTGTCAGACCTTCCAGAGGTTCACCCTCCTAAATGTTAAATCCTGTTTCCATCAGAAGCCCCAAGGCCGAAGTAAGCCAGAAATCTTCACACAAGCCCTGCAATGAAGCCTCGCTGACAGCCTAGTCTAAACCTCCAAAACCCTAAATTGGCGCCAAGGAGCGTTACGGCCTGTTCTGCCAAGGCAGACTGCAGCGGTGTGCCGTGCATAGCTGCGGCACCTGTCTGACCAGGGTCGGCAGCACAGCCACCTCCCTTGAGAGAAGGATTTATTCATTTTCACCGCATGTAACTTGGAAACTGGCTCGGTAGCTAGGGATGGGTAGGTGGGTAATTAGGTACGTGAGTAGCGGAGTAGGCCGGCGGATAGGTAGGCAGGAAATTGGGCAAGTGTGACACTTCTGGCGGCATTCGCCTTTGATTAGCAAAGGGCCTGGCACATCTAAACCCTCCAGCCCTGGAACTCCTGGCGCTCCTCAATCCGGTCCCATGCACCTGGAGCCCATGCGAAGCTCGAGGTATCCTGCGCATTCCTGGGTGCTGGCTATCAGGGCAACGGAAAACCGGCCTGTCTGGGGTTTACCTCGCAGTCTGGGTGTCAAATGTGGGGTTTGCAGTTTTTTAGTGTACCGGACTCTGGGGCCATTTCCAGGGCTTCTGCAGCAACATAGACAAACACATACACACACACACACACACACACAAAGCAAAACAAAATCGCATGCACGCATTTAAGAAGTGTTTGTGTATGCGGGTGCATCGATCCATGTAAACAGACACGCATCCACCCATTCACCCACCCATCCACCGACCCATCCAGCCATCCACGTGTACATACTTGCACGAACTTATGAACTCGCACAACGTCTGTACACGAACAACGAAATCCAATCCCTTAAATCTTAAATCGTATAATATCCTAAGTACTACATGCAAGAAGCAATTGAAACCCTGAATCTTAACAGCACACCCTAAACTCCAATTAAAGCCTTGCTATGACGAAGATGCAGGTTCGCTTCGGAGATTAGAGCCTGGAAGGATTCTCGAAGCTCCGGCATGGAATGCTCGAAGGAAAGTTTGCCAGGGGCCTGTGCAGCATTCAAACTCCAAGCCCCCCTCCACTACGCGTCAAGCCATCGAATACTCACAGTGAAGTAAGGCTATAATTTGACTATAATGGGCTCTAGTACGGAATACTTGGTGAAGAATATAGGCTTTTCCACTGGCCTGCGCCGCGTTGGCGGGCTCTTGCGGCTTAAGCTCCAGGGCAGCCACGCGATGTGCCAGGGCTTGGGGCAGCGCGTGGCTCACGGGCAGCAGGGTTGCTAACGCTCAGGCAGTGTTACTGATGTCCTGTGAAAGGAAGGTGGCACTTCGCTGCAGAGCTGCTTCGGATACTGCTTCGGTGACTTGAGCGCCGGCAAGTTTGACTCCAGCGAAACACCACCTGGGCTCTTGTCAAAGAACTTACCCTAAGCTACCACAACAAGGAAATCATATTATTCTGCTATAGATAGCTAACTCCTGACTCTACGCATTATGGAAGCCAAGACAGGAATTCAGTTCCTCATCAAGCACCCAGGCGCAGCACGTTGGCGGCATTTTGCGTTTCAAGCTCCGATAGCTTCGGTATGGCTGCCGCTGCGGCGGCCTCTGCAAAATTCAGCTTTACAGGCCCAGGCGGTTAAGGGTTTATAGGATCTCGCAAATCGGGCTTGTCGGGCTCAGGGTTTTATTGTGAAATCTGGCGGGGGGGGGGGGGGGGGGGGNNGGGGTTATACAAGGCTTACAGGTCTTGTGCAGTTTAGGGTTTGACGGCCTCTGCAAGCTCGGCATCTTGGGAAGCCGACGTTCTCAAGGCCTCGAGCAGGAGAGCACAAGAAGCCCTCAAAGCCCACTATCTTGATCCTACAGCCGAAGCTTTCTCAAGGGGTTTTCAGGAGTCAGAATTAAGGTCTGGTTTGTCCAATCCTAGGCGCCCTGCACCGGGCCTGCGCAGTGCTGGAGGGGTCCTGCACGCCAGGCTGGTGGATCCGCTTGGAAGCGATTGCGCAGAGGGACGATGAGGTTGGAGTGCCGTGCCAGTCAAGAGCTGCATGCGCTCACCTGGCATAGATCGGAGCTTAAAGCCAACCGTTACGAAGTATAAGCCTGTATAGAACTCTATACGAGTGGTGCAAGTTTCTTCCAGTTGTAGATTGCTGGAAATTAGGATTTCTTGCATGTCGCTAGCATGACGTCTTTTCTCACTCAAGGCGCCTGCGTGCCAAGGACATTAATTCGGATTCGGGCTCTGACACGCCCGGGTGTGGGCTACTGCTTCGGATGCGACAGAAAGAGGCCCTGGGCGACTCTTCCGAGGCTTTCGGTGGGGAGTAGGGGTTTTCGAGTTTTAGGCGTCGATCTTACACAAAAGGGCCCTCACTGTTACAATAGAAGTTGAGCTAGATTTTTAGTATTCTCTTCACAGGGACGTAAGGCTAAGTAGGACAGTACGAACAATTCAGACCTCGAGCCTCTGGTCCATAAAGATTTCGGGTTTCACAGTTCGGAATCCCAGAGTGCAAGAACTCCGCTGAAAGCCTCTTTTTGCGAGAAAGGCAGACCCTGGTGTGGCGCCAAGATGCAAGATGTTGGCTGTGTGCTGCGTGCTCAGCAGAGGTAGGGCCAGCAGCACTTGGGCTGATATCGACGATGTCAGCCTGGGCTTCTGGGGCTCGAAGTCCAAGGTATATGCACCCGAACCCCCAAACCCTGAACCGTTTTCCCTGTCAGCCGACCCTTCACCCTCAGCCTGAGCCCTAAAATCCCCCCTCAGCCTTCCACCCCCCCCACCCGAATATCTAGAAACCTTAAGCGTGCCTTTACAGAACCCTTAAAGGAACCCCAAAGGCAGCTGAGAGGGAGCCCGGCAACTTTGAGCTCCTGAGCCGGAGCTTCGCCACTGCCCAGGCAGCGCTGGCCGAGTTCTGGGGCGTGGACTGCGTCGTCTCTGCCGCTTCTGCAAAGGCCTGGCCGGTGTTTCAACACAACGAGGGTTTAGGGTTTTGGGTTTTGGGTTTTGGGTTAACAACGAGGGTTTAGGGTTTAGGGTCCATAGGGGTTTTGCCTTCGGGGTCTGGACGGGGCTTACCTGATGATATGGGGGTTTCAGAAAATAGGGGACCCTAATATAGCACCCTAAATAATAGGATCCTTATTATAAGAACCCCAAAATAAGGTACCCCCTAATTTTCGGAAACTCCCATATTGGGGGTTTAACAACCAAGGAGAGCCAGCAGGGTTTGGGCCCGAGAGCCTCGAGGCCTAGAGTTTCGGTTCTGTGGAATGCAGAGCTTGGGTTTAGGGTTTAGGGTTTAGGGTTTAGGGTTGATGGCTGAGGTTTAAAGAGTCAGGGTCCCGGCTTACAGGGCTAGTGACTGGAGGCTGATAAGATCTCTGCAAAGCTTAGTAGAACGGTGTCGTTTCACATGGTCCAAGCCGTCTTGCAGTCTAGGATCTGAAATATCGAGAAGTTTTTTTGCAGGGCACACAGGGGAGGCCAGGATGTTCAAAACTGCCGCTCCCTTCACACAGCCTGCTGAGAACCTAGTGCCCTGTCAGGCGACATAATGTAGGGACCCCTGAACTTGACAACAGAACACCCCTCCATTCAGAGATGTGGGTGTACCCTGCAAACTGAAGCCATCGTCTGGATACATAGAGTCATAGACTCGTAGAGAGGTGGAAGAGCTTGGACCACTCGAGATGCATCATGCTTTTCCTGCGGCCTGCACCCGAAAATCTGTTCCAAGCAGCCCACCAAAAAGTGTAGCGTTTTTGAGAGCAGGCCGAGAACAACTAGAAACCCAAAGAGGGCCAGGCTTGCAGACTTAAGCTGTTCGTACAAATCAAACATGACACTTCGGCTCCAATGGTCTAGAAAGATTCGGGTATACTTTGGGTACTGCCCCCATACAGTAACAGTCTATAATAGGGCTACCATAAGGGCCTAATATGTCCATAATATAAATATTATCCAACTGTTACTGAGTGGGGGCAGTACCCAAGGTATACTTTTATACTACACACTATATAAGACCCCAACTACTACATCCTGAATACCGAGGTGCTAAGCGCTGAAACTGATGAAACCCAAAGCCCCGAAAGCCTCAGAGAAGCGGTCGCTGTGGAATCGCGTTGCCCCAGGAGCTCAAAGCGCATTTGCCAGACCCTGGCTTCCAAAATTCCTGCAGCTCGACCGGCTTTGGGGTTTAGGGTTTAGGGTTTAGGGTTTTTTGGGCTAGTGTTGAGGCCTCTCTGAACTTGCCGTTTGGGTAGTTCTCTAAATTAGGGTCCCATTTTAGGTCCCCAATATAGTACGGCACCCTTACAAAAAGGACCCCAAAAGGGAGCCTAATTTAGAGAACTACCCGTTTCAGGGTTGACATGAAGGTCGCCCACAATGCCGCCCTGATGCCCAAGTTTCTCAGACGATGTGGCCCCCGGTGCATCGAAGAGCTGCGGGCTTTCCAAAGCAACTTTGCCGAAACCCCAGGCTGCCTTGGTAGGGCAGGGCTCGCGTGTTTAATATAGGGGGTTTTGGGTTTAGGGTGTTGGGTTTAGGGCTATAAGAATCTTAGCCGGCTACACAC